CATTGGGAGTTTCTTAGATTGTTCTGTCTGGAGACATAACTTCATTCTAAACTTTTTGACACCCCCTTCCCCAAAAAGCAACTCTTCGTCATTTTTTTTTAATCAATAAAGATGAAATTATCTTGCTTTAAGTCTTGAAAGTTTTGGAATGGCCTCTATAAAACTGAGAGAGAAAAAAAATCAAATTAACTTAATTTTGCTGCAACCCCAATTCAAATTAACTTAATTTTGCTGCAACCGAAATTTTTATTGACTTAAAAGAATCTTTAAGAATTAACAAATGTTGCAAGGTTCAAAATAATTCTCCATTGAAGAGAATGGTTTTTTGTTCTGTATTTTTTTTTGGATTAAATAATGCATACCTTCTGGACAGAGGAACCTATGACAGGTCTGTCGGTTGCTGGGATAGGGGTGGTCTTTGTTTCTATACCAAACTGAAAACATATAGTCAGCTCTTAATGTTACAATAATACAACTTTATTTCTAATAACATACTGTGAAATCACAAATTTTCATGGGGGTAAATTTTCATTGTTTTCCAGGTATGAAGAGACCCATGAATTCATGTCCACCACGAAATGTAAAATTTTACATGCATAAGTACTCAGTAATTCATCATCCACGAAATAAAATCCCCATGAACCAAGAGATTTTTCTCAAACCATGAAAATTTGACCCCATGAAAATATGTGATTTTACAGTAATTTAATAGATAATGGCAAAAAAAGACATACCATAAGTAAAAGTGCCTAACGATGATGTTTTTAATATCATTAAATAATCACAGGACTATCTGGGTAACAGAATGATGTTTTAAAAACAGTAATTAACACTTTATGAATTGACCAATTACCCCTGCGATCTCAAGCTGGAGAGCTATATATAATTACCAAATATTCTTAATTATAAGATGAGTAAAAAACACTAAATAAATATCTATGCAGCAGTTACCTTCTAAAAAAAGGAATTTTAAGGAAACTGCGTTCAAATTTACATATAATTAATTTTTTCTGACTAACCAATTACAGATTTTCTAACCGATTAGCATTGTTCCGACCGATTAATCGATTAACCAGTTATGAATTGCCAATCTCTGTCATTTTGTAATTTTAAAATTTCATGACGGATATGAATTTGTTGGTCTCTTTATATCATGAAAGCAACAAAAATTAACCCTTTGTGAAAATATCTGATTTTACAAAGCTAGAGATTTAATAGAAAACTAGGGATCACAATGTATGATTCTGTTAATGCGACATAGGGAAGCATTATTTAATTGCACTCACCACCCGTGATGTTTAATCCTGTGTTGGCTGTCTGTTTATTCTGGTCAGTACCGGTGTGGATTGGATATGAGGCTGTAATTTATCTGTAGTGGACAGCTGGACATAACCAAAGTCCTATGTCAAAGAATTATGAAAACTACAGTCTGTATATATATATAGAGAGAACAAGGGCACTGCAAAGCAGAGCATCGATATCCTGTCATAAAGGTCATATCTATAAATCAAGGCAGCATTTGACATCAATCTTGTCATTTTTGTTTTGCACAGAATTAACTCACTCATCCAGAAATATTTACATTTCCAATGTCGTTGTCAGAGATAAAATTACAAAGCGTAAAGCTACTGCTTCATTGATTGGCATGATTAAAAAAACTTGTACGGGGTGGGACAGATAGAAACAGAAGTGTCGGGCTTGTAGCACGTGGATTTGCTGAATCAAAAGAATGTAAATATAAGGAATAATTGTCAGATTTTTTTTGTTTCATGACGATGATCAATCAATTAATTTGCATGATAATTCTATGCATAAAGGTCGAAGGTGTTTATGCAAATAATCATGCAAGCCAATCGATTGGTCACATCATGAAACCAAAAAATTAGACAGTTATTCCTTAAACAAACACACATAACTGCATGACTATATCCCCTTCATTTCGGTTGTAAGGGAATAATAATATTTAAATTTTTCCATATCACATTTTATACCAGCCCAAGAAACCAATAGCAGACAAGGGGCCTTTACATAACTCACCAGAAATTCATTGAGAACCTCTAGAATCAGGAGCAGATTTTCTTGTAACGATTCCTCCGAAACCACGCCACAAAAATCTTTGAAGACATGATACAATCTATAAAATAGTAAGGGACATGGATAAATGAAAATATCAAATATAAATTCCATGAATTGTAACATCAGTCATTGGTTGGTGTAAAATGTATAGAGGGAAATTGATTTAGCAATATATACAAAATACTGAATTCAGAATAAGAGCCAGTTTCAATACAACTATACCCCACTTGATTCTACGTTATGATCAAAGTTTATCAAATACTGTAAAATCACATATTTTTGAGGAGTCAAATTTTTGTGGTTTAAGGTAAATATATTGGTTCATGGGGATTTGATTACGTGGTTGAAGAATTGTTCTCTAGTAATATATGTGAAAAATTGCATTTCGTGGTGGACATAAATTCGTTGGTCGCATCATACCTTGAATACAATGAAAATTTAACCCCCATGAAAATAAGTGATTTCACAGTATACATCTTTGCATCTATACTGTTTAAGCAAAATTTTTGTTGGGGTATTTTTTTTCTAATTTCTCATCCAAAAAGACCTCATATACATGTATTCTATTCAATATTCACTCTTATTAAAATTTTGTGTGTGATTTAAATTTATTAATAATTGTTAACAAAATTTTTCTGCTTTAATTTACAGTAAGTTGTTTTCATTATCCTCCATCAAACCCCTTTAAAAACCTTACCTAGTTAGAACCTCTACGATAAGAATTGGTGACGTTTCCTTGCTTGTTGTGGCAACGAAAAACAATTTGTCCCGCCTGATGAAATGAAAGCGTATGTTTCCTTCAGTCTGTAAATTATTAGAAATATAAATATATCCAGGATGTGAGAGAACAAAAAAATTATATGCAGTTTAACTTCAACATCTTCAACACTGATATCTCAATAACCAAAGATTTTAGGTGATTTTTACAAATTTTTACCCCTGATATCTCAATACCTCTGATGTCTTTTTCTTGGTCCCATCGAGTTCATTGGATAACAAAGATAACAAGGTCTGACTGTACTTATTACACTGATTACATTTGACAATTTTTATTATTATCCTTCAGATATACAGTCAGTCTGATTGGTTTAGAGCATGTCACATGAGGTGGATAATTCGTGATGTCTCCCTCACATGCAGGGTGACAACTGTTGTCATCCTTCAGATGACAATGAAGTAGCTTAAGCGAGCGTGCACAGTTACAACTGTGTTGTCGCCCTTTGGATGAAATTACAGTGGTTAAAGTGAGATAATTCTTATTTTTTTATACAATAATGGACTGTTAAGAAGGGAAAGACTTCACCAATTATCAGGTCTGAGTAGGGTTGTCACCCTCAGGCGCTTGCGCCCGAGGGTGATAACCCTACTCAGACCTGATAAACAGTCCATAATTGTATATTGATATTCTAGAAATGCTATCTTGTTTAATTATTACTGTACTTGGGTCATTTTCAAAAAAAGTCCACTTTTTTGTCTTTTGATCAGAGAAATAGGAAAAACATTTTTTAGAGTTAAAGTTTTTTTCCCATTAGTTAATATACATGGTCATACAGCTTATAAGTTATTTTATGATCATCTCCGAGGTGTTTTATAAAAAATATTCTATGCATTCCGAGTAAAATTTAACAGTAAAACCATGTCACATTAACAAAAATTTTATAACGTGCTTATTTAAATGATAGGGAAAATATTACCATGTGAAGATATGTACAAATTTTGCACCTCATATTAATTGAATTTATTTACAAATTAATTTAATATGATTGTTTTACCTATGCCGCCCACTAAATACTAGTATTGTGCATTTAACATTCAGGAAGTGACATGTCCCTCCAGTTTATGTCATTCCTGTTACCAAACAGAAAATGTTAAAATAAAAGTTATCTCACTTTCCTAGGAACTGTTTTCATGATCCACAATATATCATCATTTTCTGTTGTCTCAAGTTTTTGAGCGCCATGATTTGAAAGTGAGTAAAGAAAGGGTTCAAAGGTCGATAAGTTTGTCTTATTGGTAGAGTATAATGAAAATACGTCCTATCTGTTACCTTCTTAATATGCAAGTACTCTTTAAATTGTTTATTCTCCTAAAGCAATTAGATTAACTAAGCTACAAAGAAATTGTTTCAATGTCTCGATGATGCAAAAAGTGTACATTATACTAAATAAGGGGTGATTTATATGAGAAACGTCCATCCTGTTACTGTCATTTCTGTTACCATTAATATGGTAACAGTAAGGAAAACTGGACTTCATATCTTGAGTTTTAACAATAAAAACAATTACTTTTATTTTTCTAAGTAATATAAGTTTAATAACACATGTTAAAAAACTTCGTAAATCATATTGAAATATGTTAGTGCTTCAAATAGTGCCATTACTACTTAAACATGCACTCTTATAACAGAATGGACAGAAATTGTAACAGGAGGGACAAATTATCCTGGTATTTATATACCGATTTAATTTTTATCATTTGTTTTTCTTAAAATTATGAAAAATTCTTAGTTTTGCAACAGCACAGAGTACCTTTAATAAACAAAATTTGAAGTGATAAATATTTTAATAGCACTTTACAATTAAATTTCGTAACAGGATGGACATAAATGTCTTTTATTGTCTCGAATTTGCCAGATTTGACAAAATCGTGTTTTTATTCTACATTTATTTCTCTTTTCCTAACCAATAAAGTTTAAAAAAGGTCAATTTTTATTTAAAATGTAGATTTCATGGTCCATCCTGTTACACTGTTTTGTCCATCCTGTTACTGTTTTGTCCTTCCTGTTACCCAAATCCTTACTGTTACCAGTATATTTTCCTAGTTTAAATTGCTTGGCAGAGCACCTGTTTAAATAACTTTCTGTAACTGTTTATTTTAATCACAAAAATAATGTACAAGAATGTTTTTTTTCAACTATAGCATATAAATATTCAGCAATAAGGCTTTTCATGAAGAAAACCCCATAGATTTTGCTTCTGTTTGGTATATGGTAGTTTGACATGCTTTTAAACGCTCATATATTAAATGAATGTCAAACATCTTGGCATTCAATGATATTTTTTTCATTTTTTGACGATATACAAAAGATTATTTGATAAAAAATTTTGAAATAGAGTTTTTCAGCTCTTTTTATGAAAGTAACAGGAAGGACATTAAAATTTAAATGACTAAGATAAAATGTCAATATTTTTTAAAAGAAATATTTTCTTTTATGCAATGCAGTAGATTTTAGGAGTTGATTACTATATTATTCAAATAAAGTTGAAAAAATCATAGTAAAACCACTTTCATTTTTCAAAAATACGTAATTCAAAAAATGGACTTTTTTTGAAAATGACCCACTTACAAAATATGGTAGTGTTAGATGCTCCCCTGACCTAAGTTTCTGAAGAAAAACATCTTTAGAAGAAGTATCATTGGCCAATGTATCTTATAGTGAGTTAAGATCAATCAATATAAAAAGACTTCCCTTTATCATATTACTAGTATATCTTTTCCTTGATTCTATACTCTCAAAACTGAATAACACATAAAATGTCCTACAGGTATCTTGATTTAAAGCTATGTATAGTGGCAGTTAAAAAAGAAGAAATAGTGTCCCAGTTGAATGCTAAATAAAAAAAAAATGTTATTAAAGCAGTGAACATGATTGGTGAAAGAAATGTGTCCACCATTTTTGTTCGGATTCTTGCTATATCTGCAGACCCCTATATATTGGGCAGAACTATATTCAGTGTAATCAGTTGGCACCAGTGTAGACGGACGTATGCTATACAGCACTCGGTAGCAACAATAATAACGTAATAAATACTTTGTCTAATGCAGGAAAGTATAAAATACCAAAGAAACTTACAATTAAAGTGAGCGCAGCGAGCATTGCTAGCTCTAATGACAAAGCCTGGACGAAGAGAAAATTTTTTTCAGCAGAAAATTGGATCTACAATGTATCACTTCGTACACAACCTCTAAAGCAACGTTCTTGTGAGTATAACAACAAAAAGTTAAACGAATAATAAATTTGCCTTCAGTTAATGAATTTAAAATTGCAGAAAAATAGTCAATAAAACGGTTCTTCATTAAAATCAGCCCTGTCAAGGCTTCGGTTTGGTAAAGCAAGATACGACCTAATGACATGTTGTCATTGTCTTAGATGCATGGAATGTCATGTGCATTTGATGAGCCCGAACTTAATGAAAACTGAATCTGTGCTCGCCCTAACGGTCACACCTTCAACATATTAGTTGTACAGATCCGTGCAGTATACAAACAAACATGAACACGGCCTTACACGGGTCACTATGACAATATCGCAGTCAGGTGTAACAAATCTGAAGAGTATGCCCTTATGTTGATGTATCGTATATAATTATATCTAAAATGGTGTATGTCTATTGACGA